AATTAAACTAGTGTATCTCTTAGAAGCAATCAAACTTATCTCTTAGAATTGAACAGGTTTAGCTCTTCTGTGATACACAGCATACCACAGGTATTCTAACTGTTTAATTGCTGTATTTACACGTGTCAAGACCTTCAGGGAATTCGGCAGCTCCGTTGAATCTCCGGCAAGTGGTCAAATGCCTCGTGTGCTAAACCTCTTAGAAAATAAAACCATACCACCTGGCAGGAACATTTTATAGAGATATAATCTATCTGTGGTTTTGACAGCCATATATAGGAGGTCAGTTGTACTTCTTTTTTTTTTTTTTTTTAACATCTTTATTGGGGTATAATTGCTTTACAATGGTGTGTTAGTTTCTGCTTTATAACAGAGTGAATCAGTTATACATATACATATGTTCCCATATCTCTTCCCTCTTTGTCTCCCTCCCTCCCACCCTCCCTATCCCACCCCTCCAGACAGCCACAAAGAACCGAGCCGGTATCCCTGTGCCATGCGGCTGCTTCCCACTGGCTATCTACCTTACGTTTGTTAGTATATATATGTCCATGTCTCTCTCTCGCCCTATCTCACCTCACCCTTCCCCCTCCCCATATCCTCAAGTCTGTTCTCCAGTAGGTCTGTGTCTTTATTCCTGTTTTACCCCTAGGTTCTTCATAACATATTTTTTTTCTTAAATTCCATATATAAGTGTTAGCATACGGTATTTGTCTTTCTCTTTCTGACTTACTTCACTCTGTATGACAGACTCTAGGTCTATCCACCTCATTACAAATAGCTCAATTTCGTTTCTTTTTATGGCTGAGTAATATTCCATTGTATATATGTGCCACATCTTCTTTATCCATTCCAGTTGTACTTCTTGACCAATTTTCATGACACGATATCCAATATGAGGGGCCAGACCTCTGTATTTCATTGGTTCTGTGTCAGACTCTTTCCAGAAAAGTTTTTCATCCATATTTTCCAAATGCCTGATATTATCCCTCTGACAAACACTGTTTCTGCTTGACTATTTCAGCACTTCTATGTAATGGAAAATTTCATAAACACTTGCAAGAAATCTTTGTGCCCTTGGTTGTCCGCTACGTGGATCTCATGGAGTCCTCCATCGCCCAGTCAATTCACAGAGGTTTTGAGCAAGAGACATGGCAGCCTGTCAAGTAGGTATCTTGCCTAGTGTCCACAGAGCCCCTGTCTCTTCTATGCTGACCTTATGACTTTACACGTGGCCATCTGTAGTTATTGCTTATGGTGGTCCCTTCCCACGTTGTTTGTTTCTTTACAGGAATATCGCCAACAGTCTTCCCAATGTAGCTCTTCCAAAAGTTCCAAGTCTGCCTCTTAATCTTCCACAGATTCCTAGCTTTTCTACTCCTTCGTGGATGGCTTCTTTATATGAGTCCACGTGTGTATCCCTCACTTATTTCCTGGTGGTGTGTTAGCTGGTGCATGGCCTGGGCTGTATTCTGTGCAGATGTGTTTAGATTGCATGGCATTTATCATTGGTTGAGGAATACTATGTTTGGTTTTATTTGTTTTGAGTTTTTGAAGCTATTAAGCTAAGCTTAGCATATCAGTGATAAATAATATAGATTTTTAAAAAAAATACTCACTGGTTTGATATCGTTCATATGTAATCTGTGGGGCAAGGGTCGTTTTGTGACCCAGGTTGTAGACTCTAGTCTAAGTGGTATAACCAGAGTTCTCCATATTCAGACAAGCAGTGTGGCTAACGGTAGGTATGTATGTCCAGGATCCTTAGTTGGCTCCAGCTTTGTTACTGCCACTTGATTTATCTTGTATATGTAGAAAAACCTTTCTAAGAACAGTTTCAAGAACATAATCTTTTTCTGCTTTAATCTTAGTCTCACCTTTAAAGAAACAATAATGCAGGTTGCAGAGAACAGGTTGTCCTTTGTTTCTCAGTACCGACAAGTTCTTCTTTTGTCCTTTCATATATCATTTGATGCACCTTGTTATTTTTAAGTAATCTTTTGTGTGTGTGTGTGGTACGCGGGCCTCTCACTGTTGTGGCCTCTCCCGTTGCGGAGCACAGGCTCCGGACGCGCAGGCTCAGCGGCCATGGCTCACGGGCCCAGCCGCTCGGCGGCATGTGGGATCCTCCCGGACCGGGGCACGAACCCGCGTCCCCTGCATCGGCAGGCGGACTCTCAACCACTGCGCCACCAGGGAAGCCCTAAGTAATCTTTATATCATTACAAACCATGTTTATTAACTCCACATTGTGCTGAGCCTACCTGTTGCAGATTCAGTAACCAAGAGTCATTAAAGTGAAAAGGACATGGGCTTTGAAATCGATCAGCCCCACATTTAGATCCCAGCTTATTCATTGTTAAGTCTTCCTTTGCCTCAGTTTCCTCAACTCTAAAATGGTTATGACACCTAACTTAAAGACGTTTTTTGTGAGAATTTTTTAAAAAACTGTGAAAAGTGCCTGGCACAGCATAGGGTCTCGATAGATGATAACCACTCCTATTCTACATTATGATTGTTATTACTATAATTATTATTACATTACCGTCAATCATCATTATTACTCATAACTGTGTGGTTGTCAAAAGTATGAGCTTCACAGCAATCAGATGAACTCAATAACAGCCCATGCTTTGCACAAGGTCTCTCATGAAGTCAGCTAGAAAGAATAATAATTATAAGAAGAAAATTAGCTACCATTTATAGAGAATTTGTTATATAAAGTGCCAAATTCTTTATCTCGGTTAAGCTTTGTAACAATCCTGTGAGGTAAATGTCACTTTCCCTATTTTACAGTTAAAGGAAACTAAGTCACAAAGAAGTCAAAAGGCAAAACTTACGAGTGTCTCACAGTAAGCAAATGACAAAGACAAGATTTGAACCCAGGTTTGCTTGACTCCAAAGCTCTCACTCCGATTATTAATATATTTTGCTTCCAGAGAATATACTGATTAAAAACTTGTCCAAAATCCAAAACCTATCCCATCACCACGTGTCAAATCTATTCCCAGTCTAATCTGCATATAATCAAAAAAAAAGAGAGAGAGAGAGAAACAAAGACCAAGGAAGAGAATGATAACTTGCAAAATAGTTTGGCAGTTTTTCTCCAAATTAAACATCAACACTATACTCATAATAATTATTAAGATATTAGGTTACATGTGAATCTTTTTCTTACAAGCAAATGCTTTGGGCTTTACAAGTGGTGTCTGTGTGTCCTCAGTTATCTAGGAAGTGTAGTGAACCTTTCTAAGTTTATGATTTTTTTTTTTACTTCTTTACACGGTTTTCTAAATTAACTCTTCCTCATTTCCCATCTGTTTAACATCATTGATTTTAATGAAGAACACTATCTTTATATCATTACAAACCATGTTTATTAACTCCACATTGTGCTGAGCCTACCTGTTGCAGATTCAGTAACCAAGAGTCATTAAAGTGAAAAGGACATGGGCTTTGAAATCGATCAGCCCCACATTTAGATCCCAGCTTATTCATTGTTAAGTCTTCCTTTGCCTCAGTTTCCTCAACTCTAAAATGGTTATGACACCTAACTTAAAGACGTTTTTTGTGAGAATTTTTTAAAAAACTGTGAAAAGTGCCTGGCACAGCATAGGGTCTCGATAGATGATAACCACTCCTATTCTACATTATGATTGTTATTACTATAATTATTATTACATTACCGTCAATCATCATTATTACTCATAACTGTGTGGTTGTCAAAAGTATGAGCTTCACAGCAATCAGATGAACTCAATAACAGCCCATGCTTTGCACAAGGTCTCTCATGAAGTCAGCTAGAAAGAATAATAATTATAAGAAGAAAATTAGCTACCATTTATAGAGAATTTGTTATATAAAGTGCCAAATTCTTTATCTCGGTTAAGCTTTGTAACAATCCTGTGAGGTAAATGTCACTTTCCCTATTTTACAGTTAAAGGAAACTAAGTCACAAAGAAGTCAAAAGGCAAAACTTACGAGTGTCTCACAGTAAGCAAATGACAAAGACAAGATTTGAACCCAGGTTTGCTTGACTCCAAAGCTCTCACTCCGATTATTAATATATTTTGCTTCCAGAGAATATACTGATTAAAAACTTGTCCAAAATCCAAAACCTATCCCATCACCACGTGTCAAATCTATTCCCAGTCTAATCTGCATATAATCAAAAAAAAAGAGAGAGAGAGAGAAACAAAGACCAAGGAAGAGAATGATAACTTGCAAAATAGTTTGGCAGTTTTTCTCCAAATTAAACATCAACACTATACTCATAATAATTATTAAGATATTAGGTTACATGTGAATCTTTTTCTTACAAGCAAATGCTTTGGGCTTTACAAGTGGTGTCTGTGTGTCCTCAGTTATCTAGGAAGTGTAGTGAACCTTTCTAAGTTTATGATTTTTTTTTTTACTTCTTTACACGGTTTTCTAAATTAACTCTTCCTCATTTCCCATCTGTTTAACATCATTGATTTTAATGAAGAACACTATTTTGGGCACTGCCTTGTGAAATTTAGTGGGGGTTTTTTGTAATTACTCTATTAGCTTTGAGATATATGTGAGCCCTAAATCTCATTTTTAGGAGCCCCTTTTTAAAAATAACCTGTCTCAGGACAGGAATGTCCTGTCTTTATAACAAATTGTGACTTTGTAAATAAAGTGCTTCTACTTTCATCATTCTGGGCAAATAAAAAAAATATGTTTTACAAGTTAGTTACCATTATCTTTACCTGCCAAGGTTTTCAACACTAGGCTTTGTGTCAGGGTGGCCAGAATTACTGATAATGTTCTGATGTCATTGCAAAGTTTTTTTTTAACTTTTCTTATAAAGCATTAAATAGCAAGAAAAAAAATCCCATTTCACATATATAAGGAGTTAAAAATACAACTACTGATAAAGTAAAGAGAAATAATACTAAACTCTCCATGAGTCTGAAGATGCATCTCTACATACTTATGTATAAATCACCTTAAGAGGTGCTCCTCCAAATCTCTCGCTGTATATAAAATCTTCATTCTGGGTTTTTTCGCTCTAGAAGTGAATGCCAGTCAGGTAAGTTTACTGCTGGCATTTTGAGAAAATTATCTCCAACTCCATTTTTCACGTTTGAATTCTTTAATCTGTTACTAATACTTTTAGGGATAGGTCACTGATTAGAAATAATTTTTAAATGAAAAAGCTCTGAATAAATTGCAGGTTATACATGCCAGCTTGAGAGAAAACCTATTTACATTTTTTCATCTATTTGATTATAACAAACTCTTGTTATCTTAATTACATTCCCAATTAAGCACATGTATCATTCAGAATCTTACCATAACATCAAAGAACAGAAAAAACATATATCCGTCTTCTCTATAAAGATTTAATTGCCGCGTACAATGAGAAAGTCCATTTTTAATAGAATTCTACCTTTACTATTTGGGGGTTTGTTTTAGTGGTGGCTTTTGTTGCTGTTGTTTTGTTGTGCTGTTACTTATATTTCTCCAAAATAAAAAATTATAAGAAGTAGATTTGCTTCTTTGACAATTATATTCAATAGCTCTTAAAACATAGTTCCTCTATCTACTAAATTGTACACTACAGATGTACAGGAGGATTTTGCTTCAGGATTTTTTTCTCTTATTTTTTATTATATAAATGGCAAAATGGAAAATTGACTATAGTGTTTTCTCAAACATTTTTTGAAGCAATTTCAGCATGGTTGTCTGGTTCTTTTGTTTAATGATCCATTTGGAGCACTGAATATTAAGGTTTGGAGATATTAAGTGAGGGAAGTGCTATGGGTAGTGTTCACTGCTTTGCTGTGATCGTTCCCTTGAGAATTTAACTCTGAGGACGTCTTGGCTAGACGAGGAGATCATGAGGAATTACTGGCAAAATGGGAGGAGGAAAGCACAGTAGATTGGTGATGGAGCGAAGATGCTGGGTGCTGCAGGGCAGAAATAAGCTTTTAATTAGCCAGAGCAGGAGGTGATTGTTTTTACGCTGGCTAATTAAGATATATTTAGCTAAACAATGTGGTTATTTAAAAGATTTTTCTTTTTTATAAAATTTTTCTACCATGCCCTTGTGATAAGTTAGTTTATTTTATTTTAATATTTTTCTTTTACAAACCTAAAATATAAATTTTAGGTTAGTGTATGTTAAAATGTTGGAAAGCTAAGCAGAAATGAATCATAAGCAGTTTTTGTTTTTTTCTTTTTCTTTTGTTCTCTTTTACAATTAAGTTTCAGTATACATAGGAATATTTTATTTTCAAATTATCTATTTTCCTATTAGGCTGTATATTTGCTTAATGAAAAGTAGTAATATTATCCTTTACTCAAATATGATATACTCTGACACAGATTACCTTCTCGCATGGTGTGAAAATATGTTCCCTAGAGTAACTTTACCATAGTAGTGAATGCATAGCAGACCTTGGCTCCATGGTTAGATAGATGGAAGGACCTGAAATATATGGTGGTGCTCCAACTTGAGAGCACCTTGAATATCTTTTCTCTGTTAGACCATACCTGGTACTAAGTTAGGTTTGATTGTGAACGAGAAAAGGCACAAAGCATTTCAAAGTAAAAGTAAGATTTGCTTCCCTACCCAGCCTGTTACTTCATTCCCAGTACCTGTTTCACCTTTACCTGTAACTGAGAAATTTAAGGCCCTGAAGGCTACATACCTATAGATAAACAGAAGCCATCATGATGACAGAGGCACATATGCATGAGTTAAATAAAGCTGCTAGTTGCTGTCATATGAAGTTTCTTGCATAAAACACACTTTTCTGAATTTCTAGGAGGAAATGTGTATTTTATCTTTATCCTAGAGATTGGTAAAGAACAATTTAAGATGTTTGCTCCTATGTATATAATTTGATTTCTTCAGTAAAGAATCATTTTTCATTTTACCCCTTTTTAATGAAACCCTACTACTATATTTCTATTTTTTTCTCCTTGCCTTATTCATTAAGAAGTGGTGAAAGGGGAAAATTAGAAGGTTGAACAAAGAAAAGTATTGATCACTAGGGGTTTTACGTAGTATTTTTTCACTGATGGCAAGTGATACAGAAAAGAAGAAACAGTGTTTTGATGGCAAGTGATACAGAAAAGAAGAAACAATGTACTGGTGACCCACACAGCTAACAGTGGACATTCACGATGTTCTTCATTTTTCCCTTTTCTTCTAGCAATGGCTCAGCAACATCAGAAGACCTTTTTTGGAAACTTGATGCACTGCAAATGTTTGTATTTGATCTTCACTGGCCAGAGCAAGAATTTGCCCATCACTTAGAGCAAAGACTTAAACTAATGGCCAGTGATATGATAGAGGCCTGTGTCAAAAGGTAGACATGTATTTTCAAGTTGCTGCTTACTCTGCCAACTCCCAAAATACCACTTTTCACCAAGTCTCTTCTATATAATTGTCACAAGGAAGGTTTCAACATGTACCACTTTTCTGAAATTTCAAGGACATTAGGTCCTTTGACCTGAATTCTGGGGACCCGCGTAATTGATAAAAATTGGCCTGCTACTTTTTCTCGGGTCTCCTAACCATTACCCTCATCAGTAGCACCCATACCGTATTAATCCTTTCTGTTGTGCTTATTATCTCTCTGGGAATGCTGTGCTTTAAATTCCCAAAGCAGTACTTCCTGAGACATATGGAGGAGATCTGTTAAGAACTTTGTGCATTACTTGCTGTGTCTGTGTGCTGTGAAACGACATGGCACACTCCATGGATGATCATTGCCATCAATTGTTCTGTTTTTCTGGCATTCTCTGTCCACATCGGATGAGTTCCAAGTATCTATTTACATTCTTCCAGAACTTAACCAGAAGAAAAGTTATGAGGCTTTGGATTCTTCCACATGTGCTTTCCTTTTCTTTAATACTTTTTACAAAATCAGTATTGCATCCTAATTAGCATCATTTTCCCCATTGCCCTTGGTCACAATATGTGCAAGAACAATGAGGGCAGCATACGGGAATAACAAATTCTGGTTGGAGCAGTTAATAATCCCGAATTCTTTAAAGCGAGAAAAATCCTGTCTTCAGAATAATGCTTAATGGCTTTGTAGAGCAAGGCCATGAATTAGATTATTTAATGTTTAGAAAAATTCATGTTCGTCATCTGTGATTCTGATGTATCAAATCTATGGATATTCTTCGGATACTTTAGCAAAGCCATTTCCAAACTACCTGTTATGCAGTTTCTTTAAAAAACCTAAATGCAACTTCAGGTATTTGAAAGAGAAACTAAATGACCTAAAAGAATTACACATTCTCCATTGCACACTGATTATGGTGTTTTAGTGTTTTCTAGACTTGTCCTTTTTTTGATATGGTGAACACTCACACAGAGGATTTGTTCTGCTTTAACATAGAGAAGCAGGTGATTTTTTACTTGGATATTCATTCAGACAGCTAAGCACAACTATGAAGTTTTTCCATTAAAAGTACACACTAGATGTAACAAATAGCTTCATTTGGGTAGAAATATTGTCTGAGCGACTGCAAAAGCTATGTTTAATATAAAATACCACAGTCTGATCTTTCAGACGAGACACCTGAAAAGAAGGGCATCCTACCTCCTAGCTCCCAGGCAATGCCACACCCCATATTTGCATGTTTTAAATTAGCATCTCGTAGTTTTGATTTCACTTTTACAAAACAGGTGGGACATATGTCAGAAGTTCTTACTCTGAATTCATGTTTTAATGAATAGAACAAGAACTGCATTCGAGCTCAAGCTGCAAAAGGCAAGCAAAACAACTGACTTGCGCATCCCAGCCTCTGTGTGTACAATGTTTAATGTATTAGTTGATGCCAAAAAGCAAAGCACCAAACTCTGTGCCCTGGATGGAGGACAGGAGGTAAGTGGAGACTGAATGTCCCATGTGGAAATGCAGGACTGGGTGCCCTGGTGGAGGAGGATGCTGTTTCTAGAAGTCTCTCACTTGACTAGATTAAAAAGACCAAGTTCCCCCATACAAGTGTTTGATCTTTACTATAATAATGGAATGCCCCTTTATCCTTTGCTCTTGTCAATTTCTTCTTTTTAATATAATGGCTGCCCAAAATTTTACAAGTGGCCATTGAATTTCAGATATACCTTTTAACGGTTTAGGTGTTGTGTATTTACATAAACCTTGCTTTTCACAAGCAAATGAGAGCTAGAAAGCTACTTACTTTGTTTATACAAATATAGAGTATCCAGAGTTTGCATACAAAAAACAGGCCACAGAAAATAGCGCATGAAATATTTTATTTACACAACAGTTTCCGTTTCTTTTAAAGATCAAGTAGAAATGTACTTAAAGATTGGGCTTTGCTTTTCTTCAATAAATACCCCATTGTTTCAATTTGATTTCTATTTTGTTTGATTCTATACTCAGAAATGCAGTTTATTTTACCCCATGTTTTATTTTTGTTGAGAGTGGTGATTGGGTGAAATGGATCTCTTTTTCTTAGATTATCTGTTTAAGTTGATGTTTTATTGCATCTTTTCCCATGGTAATTACCTTTTCATCATTTCTTTATTTTTCCCTTATGTTCTCCTTCATCATCTTTTCTTTTCCCCCCATGGCATGATCCAGTTTGGTAGTCAGTGGGTAAGTTTCTTTTTTTTTAAAAAAGCACATTTTCATTTGAATTATTATTTTCGTATGTGTACATTTTTTATTTTCATCTTTTCAAATTAAAATAATATAATTAATTCCATTTTCAGGTTTTTGGTTTCTGTGTATAACACTACATAGCAATACCCAATGACTCATTAAAACACATGTAGATACTTATACCTTAAATAGTGTCAAGGGGAATGTTCCTTCCCTGTTAAGCTGCAGAGTCAACAAACTACTTAAAACTTTTTAAAGATAAGACTATTTAAAACCAAATGAATTCACCCTCCTTTAAATTCTAAATAAATTCAGAAGCAGAGTGATTGTTAACATTTTCAAGATGCATATATCTGTAGTACGTACTTTCAGTAATACTAGAAGAATTTAAAGTTTGGGGCTTTAGATGACATGTAGCATATATGAGGGTGACCTCTAAATTTGAGGACCAGGAGGCAACTCTTAAGGTCACTTCATACAGAAGAACCCAGATGTGGATTTCAGTGAGGGACATGCCCACCATGGTAACAGCCTTTCCTCCCACTCATGGTGTGGGATGTAACCATCATCAGAGGCAGGGAAGAGGCAGGCCTGTGTCAGGAGCCTTCTTCCTCCCCGACACAAGGCTTTCTTGAGGTACTACCCAGAACCTCAGGAGGAGCACAGTTTGAAAACCTTTTAGAAATAAACAAATGAGACCTAATGAAACTTAAAAGCTTTTGCACAGCAAAGGAAACCATAAACACGATGAAGAGACAACCCTCAGGATGGGAGAAAATATTTGCAAATTAAGCAACTGACAAAGGATTACTCTCCAAAATATACAGGCAGCTCATGCAGCTCAACATCAAAAAAACAAACAACCCAGTCAAAATATGGGCAGAAGACCTAAATAGACATTTCTCCAAAGAAGACATACAGATGGCCAAGAGGCACATGAAAAGCTGCTCAACATCACTAATTATTAGAGAAATGCAAATCAAAACCACAATGAGGTATCACCTCACACCAGTCAGAATGGCCATCGTCAAAAAATCTACAAACAATAAATGCTGGAAAGGGTGTGGAGAAAAGGGAACCCTCTTGCACTGTTGGTGGGAATGTAAATTGATACAACCACCATGGAGAACAGTAGGGAGGTTCCTTAATAAAACTAAAAATAGAACTACCATATGACCCAGCAATCCCACTACTGGGCATATACCCTGAGAAAAGCATAATTCAAAGAGTCATGTACCCCAGTGTTCATTGCAGCACTGTTTACAATAGCCAGGACATGGAAGCAACCTAAATGTTCATCAGCAGAGGAATGGATAAAGAAGATGTGGTACATATATACAGTGGAATATTACTCAGCCATAAAAAGGAACAAAACTGGGTCATTTGTAGAGACATGGATGGACCTAGAGACAGTCATACAGAGTGAAGTAAGTCAGAAAGAAAAACAAATATCATATATTAACACATATATGTGGAATCTGAAAAAATGGGTATAGACGATCTTATTTACAAAGCAGAAATAGAGACACAGACATAGGGAACAAACGTATGGACACCAAGGGGGAAGCAGGGGGTGGTGGTGGTGGGATGAATTGGGAGATTGGGGTTGACTGTATGATACATACACTATTGATACTATGTATGAAATAGATAACTAATGACCTAGAAATAGATAACTATGTATGAAATAGATAACTAGTGACTTAAATGAGAAGGAAAATAGATAACTAATGACCTAAATGAGAAGGAAATCCAAAAAAGAGGGGATATATTTATACATATAGCTGATACACTTTGCTGTACAGTATAAACTGACACAGTATTGTAAAGCAGCTATACTCCAAAAAAAAAAAAAAAAATCCTTCTCCAGAAGGATTCACGCATTATGGATTTCTCACTGATTTTTAATGCACCCAAAGTTCATTGTTCTGTAGTGTTCAGGTATTCAGTGAACACAAGTTGCTGAACCACTTTGTTTCTTGATCAAACCAGTCATTTAAAAAAAAAAAAAAATAGAACTATATCTTAATCATGTTCTTATCAAAAAATTACATCTAATGAGACAATAAAATCTAAAATTTTCCAAAAAAAGAAAACCTTTTATACCTACAGGATTGACTAAATAAATATTTTTTAATAGGTCAAATGCTTTTGTGCTCTACGAATATGTTAAATCTTACAAGTCTTACAGTTGACACCTGGGAATCAAATTCAGAACCAACTCTTCACTGGGCTAACAATTCTCATCCAAGCAGAAAGGCTTAAGTAACTGCTAAGAGGATGAGAAGGCCCACTATTTGTGAATTTCATACTTTTTAACCCAGAGATAATCATTAGCTATTTGGCCATAACTTATGTGTGTGCACACATCTTTCATTCTTTGAGTAATTCAGGGGGAAAAGATGTGTTTCTAATACCACAGCATACAACCATACAGACACATTAAGTAGCTGGTATGTGTTATAGAGTGTTCAGTAATTATTCTCTGATCTCTTATGATGTGATTTATTATCTCTAATTACCTGAATGAGTAGGCAGCTGGCTTGGCTCTCAATGGCTCATAACCACCTTCTCTTGGTTTTCTATAGCCAGATGTAAGCCTTTGATTGTCTGCTTGGGAATATTGCCTGAAGTCTCTTTATACACACATCCATTTCTCATCAGGTTGATAGAATCATCTTGCCTCTTCCATTAATACTGAATTTATCCATTTGTTCTTATTTTTACATACACTGCAGTACCTGATACTGATGGGCACGTAATATTTGTTGAATGAGCAGACTGATTTTTTTTGTCACTGCTTTAAAAATGTTACCCCCATTTAAAAAAAAAATCCTCCTCTGTAAGAAACAACTCACTCTAGGACTCTGAAAGAAAAATAGGCACAAATGACAGAACACTGTTGCATTGTCAAATGATTCTTTACATTAATAGGTGGATGGTTTTGAAGAGTAATCTGCTATTGTTCATTATGTTTGCACCTGTACCTTCTCACCAGAGACAGTTTCCCACAACTTTCACACAATTAATATAGTACAAAATGTGCAGGTGTAAAACTCATTAGCAACCCTGAAAAGTGGTAAACAAGAATTTCAATGCAAAAGAAGTATTTTATACTTTGCTTTTAATCTCCAGGAAATATAGGCACATAATTGCACAGGCTTTTCCTCCCTATACGTGTTTGAGACAGGTTTTGGAATTATTGCGAAGTGGTGAATACATTACATACAGAGGTGAGCCAATGGACCCCATTGTATAGCAAGCCACAAAGTTGTTGAAAAAACTAGATTATTACGCAATTTGGAACCTTATAAAAATATATACTACATTGGTAAACCTAGCAGATTTTTTTTTTTTTTTCTAAAGTTAAGGGAATTACCTCTCCACATTCTCTAGTAAATTTGTTATATCGTCACTGCTGGGATAAAACCTTCCCAACTCCTTACCCACAGTGAAGCCTCTTCTGGGCTCCTAAATTATGATTCTGTTTTCTTACGTGGCACACAATGATGCAAGCACTCTGGGCCACAGCCCAGAACAGCATTTAATGGAGTGATTAGTGAGTGAATGATCTGCTCTTGTGACAGCTGTGTGTAATGAGTCAGCAATCTCAGGCCAGGCCCTCAGGGACAGATGTGGGGATCAGAAAACCACCAGTGTTTAGAAATCCTCCTTATCCATTCCTGCAGAAAAGCAGATGACTGCGTGGGCCTTAGGCAGTCATATGCTCTCAGAACCACTGTACCTCATGGTCCGTCCATTGAAGATGGAAGCACATTAATGGAGCTACTCGGGAGCCCCTACTTATGTGGGATTTGTTCTCAGTTGCAGTAAAATACTTCCGTTACCAGAACAATCCAATACAACAGAAGGACCAAAATCTTTTAAGAATGCTGGATTGCACTGGCATCTGATTAGTCTTTGTTTCTTGCCTGTTTCCTCATGAGAACAGTCCGGTGAAATGAGAATATTTACCCACATGTAGGGGGGCAAGGATTTCAGACCTGTGCCTGATCTGGACTCCCTGGGCTCCATGAAGTAAAAATTCCTCAGTGGTCATCTTAATCTAAGTTCGGAGTCATCTACTGGAGAAGCAAGGCACCAACAGTTTACTTTTGAGGGCAGATGTGGGGAGAATTAGTCTAAGAATGGTCTGGAAATTACCAAAACCCTTGTCTGTAGAGTCATTGATCCAACTTGAAATATCCTGATAGGAATTTTATTTATAGGCTTTTATGGTTGCCGAGAAAAAGTTTGCAAGTTTTTAACAAAAATTTGGTCTGCTAATCTAAATGAAAAACCTATCGATTTTAGCTTAGGAAATGTAAATGTCTCCAGATAAATTCTCTTCTTACCTGTTTTGATGTTTTTGTATGTGTCTGTATTTGTCTTTGGAAGCTAACTGGATCTCCTAATGAATAACTTTTTCGAGCTAATTATCTATTATCTGTATGTGGCATTTCTGGACTATTCTCTTTGCAGAATATGTATGTAAACAATGAATTCTCAGGCCACCTCCCCATTTCCACCCACAGTTCTCCTAGACCACCTCTACCAACTGTGCAGCTAGAGCAGACTCTGGAAGTTCCCAACAGCTTTTAGATTTAGAATTTGTGTAAGTCAGAGCTAATCAGATAAATTTACAGTAGCAAAATCTCATATTAAAAAAATCTAGCAACCCTTATACTATTTGGGTTTGCCCCCTGGGTAACACATTTAAGATGTACAGTATATTTTCTTGGGCTTCCCTGGTGGCGCAGTGGCTGGGAATCCACCTGCCAATGCAGGGGACGCGGGTTCAAGCCCTGGTCCGGGAAGATCCCACATGCCGCGGAGCAACTATGCCCGTGGGCCACAACTACTGAGCCTACGCTCTGGAGCCCACGAGCCACAACTACTGAAACCTGTGCGCCTGGAGCCCGTGCTCCACAACAGGAGAGGCCGCTGCAATGCGAAGCCCACACACTGCAAGGAAGAGTAGCTCCCGCTCGCCGCAACTAGGGAAAGCCCGCACACAGCAATGAAGACCCAATGCAGCCAAAGATAAATAAATAAAATAAATAAATTTATATAAAAAAAAAAAAAGATGTACAGTATATTTTCTTTCTTCCTTTTTGACTCTCTCTCTCTCTCTCCTTCCCTCCATCTCTGGTTTTGGCTAGATTAGATATGAAAGAAAACAGCAGTCAAAGATGTGTATTATAGGAGAATTTGATGGCTCCTAGAGTCTGTGGCTTTCCCTGACTTTCGATAAAAAGGATATAAATGGCCTCTTGAGTGGCTGATCTCTTGACTTTAAGAATTGCCAAAATCGGTCCAATGCAAAAGTTTAACATGTATAAGCTCTACTATTTTATATCCAGTAGCCTTCTGATGGCATTTCATTCTTTTTGAGTTAAAAATAAGGTTTATGGCAAAGGGAGATAAACCTGGAGGATAAGGCATATTTAAGAAGATGGAACTGTTTGCAGGTTCGGGCGCCTCAACCCCTGAATGTTCTGTAGCACTTTCCATGTAAGAGGGTTGAGAGAAGCTTGAAGCCCATCTCCTGTATCCCTTTCTTATTCTACCCCAAAGAGGAGGGAGCCTCAGTCTGCTATTTTAGCTCTTCCTGCTACACAGACACGAATTTGGAGAGAGAAGGATTTGAAAAGAGTGTGTGCAGGGAGGGAGAGCTGCTGAGCTCATTTGCATAAGCTCCTCCACTGCCGAGGCATTGGAACAGTTTCAGCTGGTGGGGGCCAGGGGGAGTGATGTTTTTGTACCTGTATCTGTGCGGGGCTTCCTGGACATCTCAACTACCAGCCAGCTTTTTCAGGTTCTTCCTCTTCTGCCTTGCTTTTCTTTGTTTTCTTCCCTTTTCCTTCTCTTCAAGCTTTTCTGAAAGCAAAAGTGTCAGTACTACAGCAATAGAAATCCCCCATCTAAGTTTCCCTTCTGTTTGCCCTTTGGGGAGCACAAGATTTGAGGATCAGTAAGGCTTTACGTGAGATGGACGCTTAGTATTTTGTTTCACTGAGTGGAATACATGCCTAGAAATTTCCTTGTTCATATATGTGTGCTTAATTTTAGACCACTTGTCAACACACACATGCATACACACACACAAGCAGGAAAAGAAAATAATTCACATGCTCCAAAACTATGCTTCCTTTCTTCATTATTTGTGCAGGTAAATGATGGCTTGTAACTGTCAGAGCCTGTGGGGAGACCTCATTCCTGCGTATTCCAACGCGGACCTAAGTTGATGTTTTGTTCTGTGTGGAAACTTTGAGACATGTTTTCAGAAGAAAAAATAGCTTTCAAAAACTTACATCTTTGGAAACCATTCACCCAGCAGCTGTTAAGTTGGTCTAATGTTTATACTGACCTGAGTACTTTTACTCTATGCATTATTTTAGCTGTTCCAAGAAGCCTTGAACCATCAAGATAGGGTTAGTCTTTACAAGTCACATTCTCTGTGAAGTGTGCCTTCACACACTGTCAAAGCCCGAAGCTCCTGCTAGCTTAAGAAGGGAACTCTCTAGTATTCTCTAAAGAAAGCAAAAAAAGAGTCTTTCAGGTTTATTTTAAATACATCTTTTTTGCATTTACTTAAAGGCGTCTTTTTCAGAGGAAGCAGTAATAAAACTATGGGGAGTGAGTGCCGTTTCATCATACCTTTTATGGCCTATTAATTTGTTACCATCTATCACCTTTGTTGATGAAATTTTAATTTTGCCCTTGCTTGAGCATATTGTAAGAATTGTATAAACTGCGGCTCCCTGTGCTGACAAAGAGGTCCTTTCAGTGTGAACAATTGGGAGCTCATTTTATTTCTAGAGCACATTTAAAATAACTTATGAATGAGAGTTGTCAGACATGAAATGCTGTATTAATTAAATCTTCTTCCAGTCTTTTTGCTTCTCCAGCTAAACCAACCCTTTAGAAAAATACACGGCCACCTTAATTATAGAGGAGAAGACAAAAAAGTATCCTTCACATTCCTTCTCCTGAATGAGAAGAACTCAATTCATCTATATAATAACCCCATTAGTTGCTTCACTCAACAGAGCACATGGGAAAATTTTCAAACCCCGCAATGTAAAAACTGTTGATTGGGTGGATCGTTTTCAAGGTTTTGTTCTTCTACTGTGCGAAATGGCCAATTTTTATAAATCGGATATGCCATAACTAGTAGCTTTAAAACACGTGACTTAACGACAAAAGTTTTGTGTCCACATCAACTAATGCATCATTGTCTTTTAATATCTAGCAGCAGTACCATTCGAAAATAGATGATTTGATTGACAACACTGTAAAAGAAATCATTTCGCTTCTAGTTTCAAAGGTAAGGTATTTTTTATTTACCTCTTTAAATCAAATTAAATGATTTTCAACTGAGAATTTTTAGAAATATCTGTCTTAGGTTTCTGAATACCTCATTGAGAAATAGTAGCTTTAAAGACAGATGCAAGAAAAGTTCAAATTTTAAGAAAGGTTATGAGCAAACTATGAACACTTTGTCAGTAATTTTTGGTTTTTCACTTATAATTAATTTTGGCTTTTCTTGCAATTGTTGTCTTTCTAAAAATAACTCTACCTTCCAGTAATACCTTATTCTTTCTCATTCATGTTCTCTTATTGTTTATCTCCAGGGATGAGTTGCGTCATCATCAGTTCTTGAATTTAGCCTATTTTTTTTGTGGTGACAGCACTGGGACTCTAGGACTGGTCTCATAGGTGGGCAGAGAAGGCTGGCATGGTGGTGTCTGAGGTCCTCCACTCCCAGAGGTCTCCCACGACTTCCTATTTGAGGCTTCAGATATCTTTGACAAAATCTATGGCCTTTAGCTGTATAAGGAGAGATGAAGTATACGTGAGTGTTCCACTGAATGATTAGGTGATTTAAAATCCCACTAAGGTGGAACAGACTGCCGCAGATGACATTTGAGATCAGGGTCTGATAGGAAAAGAGATGAACAACCAGAGAGCACAGGGAGCTGAAAGAGGGTAAGGAGAGAAGATGGATTTCTCCCCAAGAGTCACTTTCATGAGAGCGGGTGCTGGATCAAAGAGCCCTAGACTAGGCTTCATGAAACAATTGGAAGAATGTACAAAAAGCAAAGGAAAAGCCACCCTCAATTCAATAAACAGACAAGGGACACATTGTTTAGAAAAGAAAAAAATAGAGTTGCCCAACAAGCATGAAAGTTGTTAAGCCTCAATAGTTTAAGGAATACCAGTAAAACTAAAATTTATATAATATTTTTATAGCAAATTAGCATAGATGTTTTTAAGCTATCACCCAGTTTTAGAAAAGGTGAAGTGGGACACTCACATTTTCTATTTATGGGAGTATAAATGGCTACAACCTTTCTAGAAGATGGTTTGGAACTATGTCAAGTATATTAATACCCGTTCACCTAAAATTCTTTCTGCGTTTTTTTTTTTTTCTTACTACTCAGAGAGATGCACAAAATTTATGTACGTTGATAGATGTCACATTATTTCTAATGAAAACTACAGGAGTCAACTTTAACATGAGGGCAACGGTAAAGTAAATTATGGGACATCTATATTAATAAAGTTTGCTTTCAAAGACTATAATGTTAAAGGAAAATTTCATAATATAGTGGTAAGTGGGAAAAAAGCTGAATATTTAGAAATGTAAACTATGATCTGAATTGTCATCACCTAGAGAAAAGACAGATAAACACCACAGTACCAACAGAGCTTTTATCTGGGTGGTGGGATTATAGCTGACTCAGCGGTGGTGGGGTTCAAATTGTTTTGTGCTTCCTAATTCTCTGGTAGCAGGTCTTGAGGTAGAAAAAAAGTCACAAAGAAAGGGGATTTTAGAACTGCGCCACCTCCCCAGTTTGTTCTTGCCCCCCAGCTTCTACCCCAGCACTGAACACTTACACTTACAACACAAATTCACCAGCAGGGGGAAAGGGGAAGGGTTAAACAGGAAAACCATCTGGGAGGTAGAGGAAGAGGTGGATCACTGGAGAATGAAGCTCCTACAGGAAGAACCATGAGATTCCCGCCCTCCCAGGAGCCCAGCCCAGCAGCTTACAGCCCACAGAACAGACATAGTTAACCCTGCACCTTTATTGTCGGGGAGCCATCCAGGGAAATTTTATCCGGGTAGAGCCTCCCCGTCAGCACAGTTCTCCTGTGGAAGTTGTCTTTTGTGAGAAGGGTACATAAAGAGAGCCACTGAATTGCAAGCATGAAGTTGATAAAGGGTTAAATAGGCAACAAGGCAAAAAGGCCACAACGAGTTTTGGTTTGGGGCAAAGGGGAGGAAGGGTTGCAGGAAAGGCAGGAAGGTCTATACATCATTTCTGCATTTGTTTCTGGCAAAGTAAAAAACTTAAATTTTTCTATATCAGATGCATCTGGTTAATTGAAAAAACAGTATATTTGAGTCAAGCTGGGAAATGGTGTCCTAGAGATCAGCACTATGAAATAGAACTCTCTGTGATGATAGAAATGTTTATCCTTCACCATCCAGTATGGTAACTAGTAACCACATGTGGTTGTGGAACACTTGAGACGTGGCTAGTGCAACTGAGGAATTGAAATTTTGATTTTACTTAATTGTAATTAATTTTAACTAAATAGCCTAATGTAACTAGCTATTCTATTTAGAAATCAGGTCTAGATTATAGTTTTCTCTCTGGATCCTTTCTCCTGCAGTCAAATGGCACTTTTTAATAATCTTTGGTTGAAAAGTATAAAATAAATTAATTTGATAGTTTTGACAACTGTCTTAAGCTTCCATCGAAGATGACAATAAATGGTGCATTTTATTTCATTAAGCAAAGATGAATAGGATTCTGTAATACAATCCTTAAATGTTAGCATGCCAAAAAATTGCCTGAGAGCTTTTTACACTACAGATGCCTTAGTCCTGCTTTCCAGAAGTTTTGGAAGAAGGGCAGGAATGTGCATGTTTAACCAATCACCATGGTGATTTTGATGTAGGAGTCCCTGAGCCAGACTTTGAGAACCATTGCTCTGATGACCCTCCACTTAGATGGACATGCAAACTACCTTAAAACTTCAGTATATTTAAAAACAAGACAACCCCTTAGATAGTATGTTCCCATTTGTCTTCACCAAAGAAGAAATGATTTTTTTTAAAGGAGGTACCTCCTTTATGGAGTACCTTTATGGAGTACTCCTTTATGGAGTACCTACTGTGAAGCAGCTACTGTACATATGTTATTTAATTCAAACTACATAGCACCTATGGAATGGGTGGACTTACCCTATTCCACAGAGAGGAATGTAATCTTCAAAGTAGTATAGTAAACTGATCAGAGTCACACACCTAGTAAGTGCAAGAGTTGGGATTCAAACCTTTGAGTTTCAGATTCCTAATCCAATGCACTTGCTGATTCCAGATCTCCAGGAAATCAGTAAAAAGCAAAAGACTAAAAATTAAAATATATAACTTCTACATTATCTGTCTTTATTCTGGAAAATTCTAAGAGCTGTGTCCTAGACATTTTTATAGCATATTAATTAATTCAATATAAAGTAGATGCATAAAATAGTGAATTCCTTGTATTGTATCCCAAATGTTTCTGCCCATATTTCAATTCTCCTGTGCATATTGAGAAATATGTTTGCTACATTCTTTTCATCTCTTCTCTTCAGTTCAACTTCTGCATCCTCCTTTTATCCACATGTCTTCACAAATATTTTGAGAATGATCCAGGGCTCTTAATCACATGTAACACTCAACAGGATGTGTCCCACCTGCACACACATTTCCCATGCCTAGAAAAGATCTTGGCTTTCCATCTCTATGTTCTCTCTCCACCTAGCAGCTAAATGGTGGGATTCTTGGGTTTCCATCTTTAGTCTTCTTTTTTTTTTTGCAGTATGCGGGCCTCCCACTGCTGTGGCCTCTCCCATTGCGGACCACAGGCTCCGGACATGCAGGCTCAGCAGCCATGGCCCATGGGCCCAGCCGCTCCGCGGCATGTGGGATCCTTCCGGACCGCAGCACGAACCCGTGTCCCCTGCATTGGCAGGCGGACTCCCAACCACTGCGCCACCAGGGAAGCCCTTTAGTCTTCTTTTGAACTCATTCCATATATATCTGTGACTTTCACACTTCTGGTTTAACTATATGCTGATGATTTCCAACTCCGTACCTGAAAGGTAGTATGGAATCATGGTTAAAAGCCCAACTACAGGCCTGAGGCGTTTAATGTCTTCATCATTAGAGCAATGAGAAGTCACTGAAGGGTTGGAGAGGCAGGGAGTAGGGGTATAGAGTTAATCATATTTGCATTGTAAGACAGTTCATTTGATTGCCCACAGCAAACAGATTGAGAGGGAGTAGTAAGGAGGCTGTAACACTGGTCTCTGTTGGACTAGTCCAAAGACATTTAAGATATACAATGGGCAGGGTGCCATGGACTGAATGTTTGCATCCCCCTAAAATTCATATATTGAAACCTAATCCCTAATGTGATGGTATTTGGTCGTGGGACCTTTGGGAGGTGATAAGGTCATGAGGTTAGAGCCATCATAAATGGGATTAGTGGCCTTATAAAAAACACCCCACAGGAGTTGAGTGTCCTGTGAGGAGCTTCAGTGCACATCCCGAGCTGAGGTGTCGGCCCAGCCATTTCACGAGGAGCTCTGGTCTGAAGGCCAGGGGCAAGGCCTCTGCATGGGGCCCATTGTGACCAAGTGAAACAGACTAAGCACAAAGGGAGAAAAGGTGGATGGGCTAGGCCTGAAGTGAGATTGCCAGATTTATGTCCTTTCCAGAAGAAATGTGGATCCTCAAGCAACAGGAGCTATGTGGCTGACAGGGTCTTGGTGCTCCAGCCAGGTGTCAGGCCTGAGCCTCTGAGGTGGGAGAGCTGAGTTCAGGACATGGGACCACCAGAGACCTCCCGGCCCCAGGTAATATCAATCAGCAAGAGCGCTCCCAGAGATCTCCGTCTCAACGCTAAGACCCAGCTCCACTCAACAACCAGCAAGCTCCAGTGTTGGACACACCATGCCAAACAACTAGCAAGACAGGAACACAGTCCCACCCATTAGCAGAGAGACTGCCTAAAATCATAATAAGTTCACAGACACCCCAAAACACACCACCAGACATGGTCCTGCCCACCAGAAAGACAAGATCCAACTTCATCCACCAGAACACAGGCATCAGTCCCCTCCACCACGAAGCCTACACAACCCACTGAACCAACCTTACCCACTGGGGACAGACACCAAAAACAACGGGAATCACGACCTGAAGCCTGCGAAAAGGAGACCCCAAGCACAGTAAGTTAAGCAAAATGAGAAGACAGAGAAACACAC